ATGCGAAGGAACACTATCCGGTTCAACTTTGTTCACCCACCTGAGCTGCTTGAAGAGTTGGTTAGCAGAATTCCAAATACTACTTCCTTCATCCAGAGGCATGGTTCTCTTCTCAGTTTAGTCATGGCAAAGTGGGACCAACAACTGATGAGTGTCCTGACCCAATTTTATGACCCTCTGTACCAGTTCTTCACCTTTCAAGACTTCCAGCTGGTCCCTACCCTGGAAGAATTCTCTGATTTGCTTGGCATCCCTATCTTGGATCAGACTTCATTCACTGGTTGGGAAAAGACTCTTAGGCTCGAGGAGATTGTTGCAGCCCTTCCTTTGACCAACCAGGAGGTAATGGATAACTGGGTGACTAGAAGCGGAGTTAAGGGCTTCTTGGCTAAGTTTCTGATTGGTAAAGTTAACAGTTTCTGGAATGACTTAGACTTCAGGGCGTACGAGGACATTATGGCTCTCTTAATCTATGGGCTAGTATTGTTTCCAAATCCTGATAACTTTGTCAATATCAATGCCATAAGGATCTTCATGTCTCGGAATCCTGTACCCACTCTCTTGGGTGATGTCCTGCAACAACTCAATGCTCGTACTGCCCGAAGACGAGGAACTCTATGGTGTTGTACTCCTTTGTTGGTGAGGTGGTTTATTTCGCACCTCCCCAGGTTCGTGCTAAAGAACCAAGAAGGAAGAGGCTAGGCTCATAAGTTAATGTCTCTCACTGATAATGACATCATTTGGACTCTCAGAGGTTTAGATGAGGTGGCTGTTATTGATCGCTGCGGAGAATATCCTAATGTTCCATTGATTGGCACTCAGGGCGGAATCTCTTATAATCCATGTTTAGCTCTCCGTCAGTTTGGAAGAGCCAGAAGAACAGGACCTCATGAGATGCTGGTGCCTCACATCAGTTTTGAGTTTCAGAAAGATAGTGATGAGCTACGCTGTAGATTCATCAAAGCCTAGGACAGAATTCACAAATCTGACCCACAAGAGCTGGGACCGAAGACTTCTCTACCTATGGAGTCCTATCACAAATGGGTCCGCATCCGTGCTCAGAATTTAGGTATGCCATATGAAGCTGTCAGACCCATCATTCTTGAGTATCCTGATGGAGATGGGGTTCCTCCAACTGTTCTCCCTCCTCAGATACCCACTGATGTTGATACACTAAAGAGATCTTGGGCGCACCTACAGGAAGAACGGGATTATTATCGGGAAAAGCTCAACGAACAGGAACAGAAGATCCAGAAGCTAACCAAGCAACTGGAGAACGAGCGAACCCTGAATGACTATATCCGTACTGAGAAGAGGAGGCCATGGGAGCACTGATGGGCTTTGGATGTTTCTTTTATAGCTTTATTTCCTTTTCAGTATCTTCATTCTTGTAACGCCTAAGGGCAGATTGTTGAACAATTTAAAGTTTGAATCTAATAAAGTGTGTTTCCCTTTTGCCTACAAAGTTGATTCCCGATTGTCTTTGAAAACATAATTCATACGCATTTCATTCATCATATGCATTACATGTACCCTTTTCCTACAGGTTGCTTAATCTCCTTCGCTGTTTATTTAAGCACTCAAGCATCATGAATCCTGAACTCACTACCGAGCAAGCTATCAAGGCCCTCCAGGCCCAGAATGCCCAATTTCAGGAGATGGTCATGAACTTGGCCCAGGGACAACAAGAGCTGAAGGCTTTGCTCCTGAAGAAGAATAATAAGAAGAAGAGGACTGTGTTATTCAACACTGGGCGCAGACTCGGGAACACATTGCAGAATGAAGCTGAGAGGACTACTCCATCTGTGGGGGAAGGTAGTCACCAAGGGAGAGAGGTCCCTAGTCCTGTGGTCTCTGACACTGAGACAGACTTCAACGATGAACAGTACCCTCCTGCTGAGGACCGGTACAAACAACTGGAAGACAGGTTAAATGCTATGGAGATTCAACGTGTGCCTGGGTTGGATTTCGGAGATTTGGGGTTATCCTCTGGGGTGGTGATCCCACACAAGTTCAAGGCGCCTGCCTTTGTGAAGTATGACGGGGCTTCCTGCCCTAAGATGCACCTCCGTTCTTATGTAAGGAAGATCCAGCCTTACACAGCAGATAAGAACTTATGGATCCACTTCTTCCAGGAGAGTCTTTCAGGGACTCACCTCGAATGGTTCTATCAGCTGGATGGAACCAACATTCGTAACTGGGAGGATTTGGCCACTGCTTTTTACAAGCAGTATCAATATAATTCCGACCTCGCTCCTACGTGTACCCAACTCCAGGGTATGTCGCTAGGATCGGGAGAAGGTTTTAAGGAGTACGCACAAAAATGGAGAGACCTGGCTGGCAGGGTGCAACCACCATTGACGGACCGGGAGCTAGTGGATATGTTCTTGGGGACCCTATCTGGTCCATTCTTCAACCATCTCATTGGTAATTCCTCTGCTGGGTTTACTGATCTGATCCTGAATGGTGAGAGGATCGAGGCTGGTATAAAATCGGGGAAGATACAGAAGGTTGCCTCCTCAAATACTGAAAAGAAGCCCTTCAAGAAGGAGGCAAGTGTTGTGTATGGTCCAAAAAAACAGAACAAACCTGAACGCCGCCAAGCTGTCAACGCGGTGGTTATTTCTAAGCCTGCTGCTGCTCCACAACAGTACAACCAACCCAGAGCTGAGAGGCCCAAACGGCAGTATACTCGGCTCAGCATGAATCTCTCTCAGATCCTGCCGCAACTGCTGTCAACTAGCCTAGTAACTGTCAAAGAGGCTCCGAAGATGGTAAACACAACGTCTCCGAAATACAACCCCAACGTCCGTTGCGCATATCACTCTGATAGCCCGGGACATTCTACTGATGATTGTTGGGCGCTGAGGAATAAGGTTCAAGACCTTATTGATGCTAAAGAGGTTCAGTTCGAGGCGCCCGAGAAGCCTAATGTGGTGACTGCTCCCATGCCTAACCATGGAGTAAATGCTATTGGGGATGAAGACGAAGTGGAAGAATCCGAATTTGACAGCTAGATCTACTCAACAACCAACGGTGGACCAAGCAACTGGACTGCCAAAGACTCTATGCCCATTACTTTTGTCACCCAGTAATGAACTTCTTTGTTTTGGATTTGTAATAAACAATAATTTGAAACTTTATGGCCCGGTGTCTTACCCGGGGCACCGTGGTTTTATTTGTAAGGGCTTTTGTTTGTCACTTTCATATATCATGAATAAAAGCATTGGACGTTTTTCACATTTCAAATCTTGCGCTCCCTTTCTTTCCTTCTTTATATTGCAAAACAGCTGTATTTACACACACTCACTTATACAGGTTTCAATCCACTCTGGATCTCACTGGTAACGACTCTGCTACTGCCAGTTATGACTTCAAAAATCCGATCAACTTAGCCGAAGACGAAGGTGAAGATGATTGCGAAGTGCCTGGCGAACTTGCAAGATTGTTACTCCAGGAAGAGAGGGCCATTCAGCCACATGAAGAGCCAGTGGAAACGGTGAATCTGGGTACTGAGACAGACAGAAAGGAAGTCAAGATTGGTGCTAATCTAGAGCTCAATGTGAAACAATGGCTGATCCAGATGCTGCATGACTACATGGAAATCTTTGCCTGGTCCTACGAAGACATGCCTGGGTTGGATACCGACATTGTGGTCCATCATTTGCCTACCAAGGAAGACTGCCCTCCAGTTAAACAAAAAGTCCGCCGTATGCGTCCAGAGATGTCCGAGAAGATCAAAGCTGAGGTTATGAAGCAATTTGACGCCGGTTTTCTTGCAGTGACTTCTTACCCTCAGTGGGTTGCCAACGTGGTTCCGGTACCGAAGAAAGATGGTAAGGTCCGATTGTGTGTTGATTACAGGGATTTGAACAGGGCAAGCCCCAAAGATGACTTCCCCCTTGTAATACCCCAAATTTGTCCTACCCTTTTACTTCCTATCTGGCTTATGCATTTTTGCATTTTTCTCACATTAGGTCATCTAAACACATCATGCATCATTAATCAATAAATTGGCATAAGATCACGGATTTTGAGGAATAAGGGTTGGTGTATGGCTTTAAGGCTCCCATCTTCGCACAAGCTTGTTTCGGTTGATTTCTCCATTAACAATCTGTTTGAAGCTAGGTTTTCATTTCATGGACCTTATCATCATCAAGCTATGAGGCTATTCTTTTCTTCTCAATGTCAAGTTGCAAGGTTTTATGAGACAAAGCTAAAAATCAGGGTTTATACATTTTCATATTTGAGCTTGTCAGCATTCTACCTGAAGTTCATTCCATATCAAGGTATTCGCATGTCTCATCTTTCATATTCATCTGCAAGGAATCCCTCAGGGCATAGTCATTATCATCTATTGAGAAGGGGTCCAAGACGTCGTTGTTCTAGTGCTCATATAGTCGGGACATGGTACAAGATGTTGATTGTGGTCAAGGTGTCATTACTTCAAATGCTTTTTGCTTAACACGCTAATTTGGTTTAGATCGGAAAATTGAAGTGAATTAGGAGTTCACTGAAGCTGTGGTTTGATTAGAATTCATTCATCAATATTTGAAGTGGATTTGGAGAAAATCAGAGTTCTTAAATATTTGCGTGGTTTTTCTTGGAATTCAAACCACAAGTATAAAAAAGCATGTATCAAGTTCATCCAACCATCAAAATATTGTCCAAGTAGCCTCTCTTGGATTCATTCAAGATTCATGTCTCTTTTGGATACCTTGCAAATATTTTGGATTCATACCATTTATTTGAATTCATACAAAGGCCATTTCATTATGTGGGAATAAAGTCAACATACATTACAATTATTCAAATACATACAAGTCCAAATTCCATTTACAATTATACATAACATCTATACATTTTTTACCAAAGCCTATCCTAATTTTCAATCATTCTCCATGTTCCAAACTTCAAGCTTCCATAACATCGCAAAGTAATCTCCATGCTTGATGCCCTTATGTCTTGAATTTCTTCACCATGTTTTATTCGCATCATCTATGGCCAAACTTGCTGTTAAAACCATCTTCAATATACCTTTTCATCACATGCCCAATCCAAACCGCTACGAACCTGAAAATAGCAACAAAAACCTGATGATTCTTTGTTGGACGTGGAAGCCAAATGAAAATGAAAATGAAAATGAAAATGGGATGGAAGCCAATTGCTGGCAGATATCTTCTTCATTGGACGTGGAAGAAGTGCCATCAGGTGCTTTACTTATAGACACAAAACTAACAGCACAACAACCACTTCTAACTGCAAAACAGAATAGTTATAGCATAACTAACAAATATCCAAGACCATATTTAGTAACCAATTTTCCGCCCTCAACTAACCCTCTAATCTCTAACAGGTTTTAAACCAATCATTTCTAACTGTCAATAACTAACTTCCTCATCTCATACTAACACTTTAACAAAATTTCTGTTTTACAAAATAACAGTTTTAACCAAGTCCAACTAACTCTCAAACTCCAAAATCCAACCCTTGATTTCTCTAACAGAAATCCTCAATCTATGGTCAAGATTCAATCACCTTCTAACTAACATTCACAGATCCAACAATCTATATAACAGAATTGAGATCACAAATAGAAAAGAGGGGTGGACAGAATAGATATATGATTTACTAATAGAATAAATATAGAATTACCTCCCAATCATTTCATTCTTCACCACTTGAAGAATCACCCTCAGAAAAAACCAAAAAAAAACTCTATGCATCTTCATCCTCAATCATTCTTCAATCTTCATAGAAGAAACACAGGAAACTCCAAGAAAACTCCATAAATATTCTCTCTCTGCACAAGAATTTTCATCTTCATCATCTTCATTGCAAGTCATCAATGTGCATCACTCACATCTTCAGCACACAGTTATGCTCGTCTTCATGTTCTTCGACCCGTTTCATCGATCTTCTTGCATCAAGTCACCGATCCGCAACCGCTTCAAGAACCAACTTCATCATCATCATCCAAGCTTCATGAATTCTATACATCAACAACAACATTGAATCTGTAACAACGATACGATCTCCACAACATCAATTCGCGCACGAGACCGAAAGCATAGAGACGGGGAAGCATAAGTGAACCTAGAGGAAGGGAGGGCAGAGAGAATTCATTATCCAGAAAACAAAAACTCATGGGGAAAAAAGAACCTCTAAATTATTATCTGAAACATTCCTCGGCAACTCTCAAGAACACAATTCTTCAAGCGTCTTTATCTTCAATCTTCAAGGTTCTCTTCAACCTTCATCATCTCCCTCACCGTATATCAACCTTCAACAAACTTCACTCTCATCTCTCTGATTTCTCTTTACGAATTCATAACCACAACTGCAACAATCTTCATCACCAATTGCTCCTCCTCCAACCTTCATCCTCAGCACCTTGACATCATCATCACCTTCGACAAACAAAAAACTTTGACATCAAATCACAACAACACATACAGAAGCAAGAAGTAGACGAAGAAAAGAAATGGATAACATAAGAAGCAAACGCGGAGAAGAAAGAAGAGAGTACAGTGGCGGCGTGACTTACGGCGAAGATGGGATCGCAACCGGATCGGAAGAGATGATGACGATGGTGAGCGGCTTCGGAGGAAGAAACGGAAGCGAGGTAGAGATGATGAACAGGGGGTCGGAAACTGATCGGAGCACCGTTGACGGATGAAGAAGAAAATGCAAGGAAGGCCGGTGGCGCCGCTACCGTTTTGCACACGGAGAAGAAGAGACTTTCTTCCTAAAAACCCTATTCCCTTTCCAATTTTCATGCTTTTCTTTTCTTTTTAATTTTAACTGTTTTATTATTTTTATTTTCTTATTTCATATTAATAACAATTATAATTAAAATAATAAATAAAAATGTTGAAAATCTTTTGGGCAAATTACTTCTACAGCACCCCATGAATTCAGCTCACACCCCTTTATTCTTCTAAAATTTTTTCCTTTTCTTTTATTATTTTAGTTTTTTCTTTTAGTTTAATTTTTTTAATCAATAATAAAACAATAAAAATAATAGAATATTTTTAGAATAGAATTTCTTTTTAGAATTTCAATTAGAATTTTTCTATTTTATTTTTCATATTCGATAATCATCTTATTGACTTTTTAGTCAAGATTTTTGTGATAGCATTGATATAACTCTTGCAATGTGGAATACTCGGGGTTAATTCTTCAACCACTCGTTCGAGGAAACTTTGATAGAATTTTCTTACCGCTTGCACAATTTTGAAGAGGCAACGGACCTTCTCCGTTCAGTATCGTCGCAAATCTATTTTATCCTTCATTTTCGTATTTTATCGCAATCCATATGCATACTAACATCAGGTAGAAATTTCCCCTTTAACCTAAATCTTATGGCTACTAACGCATGATAACATTAGGTTTAGAAGTAAGCTAGTCTCCTTCTGACTTTTCTTTCTCCTTTTCGCATACGCACCTAAAACAAAAAAACTTCTTTTTCTTTTCGAAATTTAAAACACTTTAAAACTACTGATGAGAATCATGCTTTTGCTTAGTACGGGAAATGATAAGCGAGTCTCTTCTTGATCTTATTTTTCTTCATCTCAAGCATAGGTGTGGTTCAATTCTCAAAGACTCTTTTCATAACTAAGTAGAAAAATGGCTAATATCTCTCCCTTGAGGTCAATCAGTCATCATCTACAACAAAATACAAAACAAAATTCAAATCTTTTGTGCGCTCGAGCACCTTTTCTTTTAAAACCTTTTAAGGTAAGGACACGATTAATTTACTTCTGTGCCAACGCATAAGTCTCCAAAGGTCGATCTGCGGCAGAAGGCGGAATTAACTTCGTCCATAAAAAACATCTATAACAAAATACAAAACAAACTCAAATCTTTTGTGCGCTCGAGCACATTTTCTTTTAAAAACCTTTTCAGGTAAGGACACGATCAATTTACTTCTGTGCCAACGCATAAGTCTCCAAAGGTCGAGCTGCGGCAGAAGGCGGGATTAACTTCGTCCATAAAAAACACAAAACAAACAAAACATGTGAGCCGAACTACGGTAGCTCTGATTCCTTAAAAAGGATACGTAGGCATTGGGGTAGGGCCCAGGCGAGCACAATTTTATTTTCCCTACATTATTTTTCTCATTTCTTTTGCATGCATTCCTTTCAGTAGTATAGTAGATAGTAAGCATAGATTAAACACACCCATAAGATAGACAACAAGAGTGGATACCGTAGAGTACTACGGGCGTGTGGGGTGCTAATACCTTCTCCTTGCGTAACTGACTCCCTTACCCGATCTCTCGGTCGCAAGACCGTGACTTCTCCCTTCTCAGGTTTTCTCGATGTTTACCTTTCCCTACATGTGGGATAAAAGACGTTCGATGGCGACTTCATTGTTTGATGATTTTCAGCCGGTTGTTTCACCCCTACCTCACATCGACGTTCTGGTTGACAATACTGCTCAACACAAGGTGTTCTCCTTCATGGATGGTTTTTCAGGTTATAATCAGATCAAGATGGCTCCTGAAGATATGGAAAAGACTACCTTTGTTACTCAGTGGGGCACCTTCTGCTACAAGGTCATGCCATTCGGGTTGAAAAATGCTGGGGCAACCTACCAACGTGCCATGGTTGCTTTATTTCATGACATGATCCATCATGAGATAGAAGTGTACGTCGATGATATGATTACAAGGTCCCAAACTGAGGAGGAACACCTTGACCATTTACAGAAGTTGTTTGACCGTCTGAAGTTGTACAAGATGAGGTTGAACCCGAACAAGTGCACCTTCGGGGTAAGATCTGGAAAGTTGCTAGGCTTCGTCGTAAGTGACAAGGGTATTCAAGTGGACCCTGCCAAGGTGAAAGCCATACAAGAGATACCAGTTCCCAAGACAGAGAAAGAAGTCAGAGGCTTTCTAGGACGTCTGAATTACATTGCCCGATTCATCTCGCACCTAACTGCTACCTTTGAACCAATCTTCAAGCTGCTGAAGAAAAATCAGGTAGTACGTTGGAATGATGAATGTCAGGCCGCGTTCGACAGAATCAAAGAGTATCTCCAAGAACCACCCATTCTTATGCCACCGGTTGAAGGGAGACCTCTAATACTATACCTGACAGTACTTGACAGCTCAATGGGGTGTGTGTTGGGGCAGCATGACGAGTCTGGCCGAAAAGAGCACGCCATTTATTACCTTAGCAAAAAGTTTACCGACTGTGAGACCCGATACTCACTGCTCGAGAAAACTTGTTGCGCTTTGGTATGGGCTGCTTGCCGGCTGAGACAGTATATGCTGACTCACACTACTCTGTTGATTTCAAAAATGGATCCGATCAAGTACATATTCGAAAAGCCTGCTCTGTCTGGAAGAATAGCAAGATGGCAAATGATCTTGACAGAATACGACATTCAGTACACGACTCAGAAAGCTGTCAAGGGAAGTGTATTGGCAGACCATTTGGCACACTAAGCAGTGGATGACTACCAATCAATGAACTTTGAATTTCCTGACGAGAGCATCATGATAGTGACTGATTGTGAAGTACCTGGACCGGATGAAGGACCTGAGGAAGGATCCCGATGGTCTATGCACTTTGACGGAGCCTCCAACGCTTTGGGTAACGGTATTGGTGTTGTGATCATATCCCCTCAAGGCACTCATACTCCACTTACTGCCCGGCTATGTTTCTACTGCACCAACAACATGGCGGAGTATGAGGCATGCATCATGGGTCTTCAAGCTGCGATTGACTTAAGGATCAAGTTTCTGAGTGTCTTCGGAGATTCCGCTCTCGTGATCAATCAGATCAAAGGCGAGTGGGATACGAAACACCCAAATCTTATTCCTTACAGAGAATGTGTGTTGACATTGATCCCCCATTTCAGAGATAACTTTTGAACACTTCCCAAGAGAGGAGAATCAGTTGGCGGACGCGTTAGCTACAATGTCTTCTATGTTCAAGGTCAAGTGGGACAATGAGGCTCCACGGATCATCATCTGGAAACTGGACGAGCCCACATATTGTTGTGATCTTGAGGCTGAGGTAGTAACTGAGAAACCCTGGTATCATGAGGTGAAGAGGTATTTGGAAGCTCAAGAATACCCTGAGGGTGCATCTGCCAACGACAAGAAGTTTCTGAGAAGGTTCGCAGCGAAGCTTTTCCTCAGCAACGGCATTCTGTACAAGCGAAACCATGATTCGACCTTACTGCGTTGTGTGGATAAAGCTGAAGCAGAAAGAATCATGGCAGAGCTACATGAAGGTACATTTGGAACACACTCCAGTGGACATACTATGGCAAAGAAAATCCTTCGGGCAGGATATTTCTGGTCCACAATGGAAGCTGACTGTTACTAACATTCTCGGATATGTCATAAGTGCCAGATCTATGCAGACAAGGTGCACGTTCCTCCAGTTCCTCTGAATGTCTTGACAGCACCTTGGCCTTTTGCAATGTGGGGCATTGATATGATCGGCAAGATCAGACCTACGGCATCCAACGGGCATCGCTTCATCCTGGTAGCGATTGATTACTTCACGAAGTGGGTTGAAGCAGCTTCCTACGCTACAGTAACCAAGAATGTCGTGGCACGGTTCATTCGGCATAACCTGATCTGTCGATACGGCGTCCCGGAAAGGATCATTACGGATAATGGTACCAATCTTAACAACAAAATGATCATTGAGCTCTGCGAGCAATTCAAGATACAACACCACAACTCTTCTCCTTACCGACCGAAGATGAATGGGGCTGTCGAAGCAGCTAATAAGAATATCAAGAAGATTGTGCAGAAGATGACAGTGACCTATAAAGATTGGCACGAGATGTTACCGTTTTCTCTTCATGGGTACCGTACCTCAGCAAGGACGTCAACCGGGGCAACTCCCTTTTCCTTGGTCTATGGCATGGAGGCAGTCTTGCCGATTGAAGTTCAGATACCCTCTCTCTGGATAATGAAGGATGCAGACCTGAGCGAAGATGACTGGATCCAGACTCGACTTGATCAGTTGAACCTAATCGATGAAAAGAGACTCAC